TGGTGTGGGGCTGTGCAGGTGCACCCGAGGTTAAGGACGGCTGCTCCAAATCAGTCACTTCCCTCTGTGAGCATCGCACGCCACTGCATGGGAATGGGAGATGGGGAAGAGGAATGCATATTTTTATCTTAATAGCAGTGCATATTAATATGTGTTGGAAAAATTCAGAGCCAAAGTAGATGTTATCATTTAGGATAAATCTAGGTACATATTGAAAAGTTTAAAGGCATTAAACAAATTCATTATGTAAGATTTAAGGGATTTAAAGAAAAAATAAATTAAACATTAGCACAAGTGGTACTGCTAATATGGCCAAAGTGATAGAGGTGGTACTGGGACAGCTGAAGTTTGGTAAACTCTGCTCAATATTCATGTCAAATAAGTATTTAAAGAATATGGGTTTGAAGAGCGCTCACATGCCCGCCTGGTGGGGTGGCCCACTCTCTGGGGATAGCCCTATGGTGCAGTTGGGTCTTTGGCTCAGGGCAGCGCCCCAGGAGAGAAGGGAGAGGCTGGCTGGGCTGGGCTGGGGCAGGGCTGGGGTGTGTGGCATGGGGCAGGCTGAGCCACAGCCTCTGGTCCTGCGCGGGGCCCTGCCGCCTGTCTGCAGGGAGGTGGGAGGGGATAATTAAGCCAAAGAGCACCCCCAGGGGCCGGGAGGATGAATTTGCTGAGGTTTTGGAGACTGCCAAGTATTGGTGAATCCCACCTCCCTCTGCCCTGGGCAGCCGTTCACCATTTACTCCTGGGAGACGCAGGTGGGGTCCGGAACGTGCGTGGAGGACGGGCTCTCTGGGGCCACCCAGCTCCTAAGTCCCTCTCAGGTCTCGTGTGGCCTCATCTTGGTGAGCGAGGATTGTGTTTGGAGTCCCCCACCTCCTCCTTCCTCCCCAGTGGGGACTGTCTTCCCAGAGGGAGGGACAGGAGCCTTAGGGTGGATGGAAAGGCAGTGGCTGCTTGGGGAGGTGCTGGCCTTATGCTGAGTCCTGACCCGACTGTCTCACTGGTGACAGAAACCAAGGCAGGTGGCCTGCTTGGAGAGGCGGCTGGCAGAGGGTCAGAGCCTGGGCCTGCCCGGGGGGCCTTTCTCCATGGCGGAGTGGGCCCCCAGCATCCAGCCCACTTGTCCCTTCTTCCCACGGGGGAGGATCAGAGGGGACCTCTTCCTGGTAAACAGGCGGTAGCTGCTTTTCTTCATTTTTTTTTTTTTTCTAGGAAATTTACCAAGTTTTGGCCCAGAGGTTTACATGTCCCACCCCCTAGCAAAGCTTTCACTATTCAAGCTCCAAATGGAAGGCACCGAGGCTGTAATTGCGCCGGCATTAGCCCAGGAACATGCTGAGAGGAGCGGGAACAGGGCACCTGGGGATCCTGGAAGCAGCCACAGGCCTAAATTAGCTGCTGTTCTGCTTGCTGTCACCGCCCTGCTCCTCTCTGGGGTCCCTCCTTGTCCTGTCTCCTCCACCTTGCCCCCAGGCTGCTCTGCTCCTCCAAGGCCAGCAGCCAGCCAGCCTCTGACAGGTGCGTGGCACACTGGTCCCATAGAGGTGGTGTCCCCACAGCTGCCTTTGTGTTGACAGGCGTCCTGGGGGCCTTCTGGCCCAGGCAGAAAGGCTTGAGAGCAGCTCAGGCAATTGCTTGGGAGGCCAAAAGCCCCAGCGTGGTTGCAGGCCCTTGCTTAGTGCTGCAGCATCCTCTCTGGACGCCCCTTCCTTGGTTTCTGCCTCCAGGTGTACTGAATAGCTCACAGTTCCTCCCAGCCTTCGTCCCCGCTCCCCTCTGCCTGCCACCCCCTTTCTGCTCTCTTCCCTTCCTCTGACTCATTCTGTAGGTTTCAGCTGGTTCCGAGACCCCCAGGTCTGGGCAGTGTGCTTTCCTCTCTGCACCCCGACTTCCTGACCCAGAACTCACATGGGCTCGGGCTGCAGCCTCAGTGTCTGGGCAAGTGCCTGGCGCATAGTGGGCCCTCAGTAAAAATATGTTCATTGACTGATGAGGAAAACAAACCTTGATTCAATTTCTGCCTAATTTCTCCCAACTCCTTTTTTAAAAAAAACTTATTTTTTTTAAGAGCAGTTTTAGGTTCACAGCAAAAGTGGGAGGAAGGTACAGAGAGTCCCCCCTCCCCCCGCCCCCTCCCGCACACACACAGCCTCCCCCACTATCAACAGCCCCCGAGAGGGGTGCGTTTGGTACAACAGATGAGCTCGCCTTGACACACAGTTGGCACCCAAAGTCCGTAGTTTACAGGGCGGTTCACGCTTGGTGGTGCACGTTCGTGGGGTTTGGACAAATGCGTGGTGACATGTATCCTCCACGACAGTATCACACAGAGCAGTTCCACTGCCCTAAAATCCTCTGCACTCTGCCTGCGCATCCCTGCGTCCCCACTAGCTCCTGACAGCCACTGATCTTCTCGCCGTCTCCCTGGTTCTCCCTCGCCCAGATGGATCACGTGGGATGCCGTGTGGCTGCTCTCCTGCCAGGCTCTGCCATGTCTTCTCGTGGCTCGATAGCTCCTCCCCTCTTGTCACCAAACAGTATTCGATTCTCTAGATGCGCCCACACCCCCGCTTCTACTTTCACGACAAGAAGAGGGGGCACTTTCCTACTTCTGCTGTCATTGGCCAGACAAGGTGTTGGGGTGAGCGGCTTAGCCTTCATCAGTCACCCCCCGACCCTCAGTTCTGAGCCCCTCTGGGCTGGGCCCCACGTGTGCCTGTGTCGGCCACTGTTGCCTACTCTGTGCCAGTTGCGCCTCCTTAATGATATTAGCAAACACTTTTTGAGCATTTATTATAAAATAGACACTGGTCTAAGTACATTTATTCTGTCCCTCATCAAATGCCTACTCAGCACCTGAGTATCAATCACTGGGGCTTGTAGCTGGAGTTGTCGAGCAGGCAGCTGGATGGATGGGGCTCTGGAGGGAGGTGAGGCCGGGGTGGGGGGTATAAATCTGATGTTGTTTCAGGCCATGAGGTGAGCTGAGGGCCCCAGCGAGCAGGTGCACATGGGGAAGAGGCGGTCGAGCCCTGTGTAGCGAAGATGGAACCAGCAAAGCAGGCTGAGTGGGACAGTGTGTGGGAGCCTCAGGGAGCCCCATGGAGAGTGGAAAGGGGTCCAGGAGGAGGGGAGGGAGGGATCGGCTATGGCCAGGGCTGCTGATGGGCTGAGAAGGTGGGGCCTGAGGTGGGAGAGGCAGGTGGGCACCTGGCCAAAGTGGGTCCAAGAGAGAATGGGAGGAGATGAGGACACAGCTGGTTGAGACACCTTGTTTGAGGGGTTTTGCTTTCAAAGGTTGCAGAGAAGTGGGTTGGAAGCTTAAGGGGTGTGGATGGCCCCGAGAAGGGCTTTTTGTAAATTAATGATGGGTGATGCAGTAGCTGATGGGAATGATCCAGAAGGCAGGGCACAGTCATGATGCAGGGGGGAGAGAAAAATGAGCTGTCTCGGTCATGCCCACCATGACCCTATGCAGTATGTACTACTTTACAGATAAGGAAACTGAGGCAAAGAACAGTTTCAGTCATTTGCCCAAGGTCACAAGGCTAGTAAATAGCAGGGTCAGGAGCTGAACGCTGATGGCTGAGTCCCAGATGCCCAGGCTGAGCCACTGTGCTGTTCTGCCCCTTGGTTTCCTAGCTGGAGCTGGGAGCTCTTCTGGGGTGAGGCCTCCTCTCCTGCTTTTATATCCAACACAGGGCCTGGGGGTGGGGGCTGTGCCGAGGTGGGACTTGGTTGACCTTTAATGACCCAGTGCCAGAAGTGCTCATCCATTGCCTGCCCCCCCTCCCCGGGAGGGAAGCGTGGCCTCAGCCTGCTGCACCCTGAGTCCTGCCTGCCACGCCATGGGGCCTTGCGTGGGGAGGGTGGTGCTCAAGAGATATTGGAAAACATTTGTAGGTAGATGAAGAATGAATGAGAAGGCTACAGCTCGTCCTAAACCCTAAGCTGATGGCTGTCCCTGGCAAGCCGTGGTGCTGGGTGTGATCAGGGCTCTTGCTATGGCTTGCTGCCATTGCACTGGGTGACCTGCTCAGACCCCCCTGCCCACTCAGTGCCTCAGTTTCCTTATCTGTAAAATAAAGAGGTTGGGTTAGCTGGCTCCTGGCAGAATGGCTCAGGAGGGCACATGTGTGCTATTTGCACCCTGGTCACTGAGGGACCCCATAATGAACCCCATCCTAAACACCAGTGTGTTGCCATGGGGTGCTCAGGGGCCCTGGGGCCAGTCTTGGTTCAGCTTCCCTTAGGTGACTTTGAGCCGGTCACTCTATCTCCCTCATTTGTACACAGGGCCTTGCACACCCAGTTGCTTACCTTTTAGGCTTGTGATAGTTTTTTTTTTCCCCTTAAAACTCTCATGACAGATTAAGGTTTGTGATAAATTTTATTTATTTATTAATTTTTAGAGATGGGGTCTTGCTCTGTCACCCAGGCTGGAGTGCAGTGACACAATCATAGCTCACTGTAACAAACTCCTGGGCTTAAGTGATCCTCCCTGCTCAGCCTCCTGCGTAGCTGGGACCACAGGTGCACGCCATAACACCAGGCTAATAGTTTTTCATTTTTGGAGAGGCAGGGGTCTCAATAAGTTGCCCAGGCTGGTCTCCAACTCCTGGCTTCAAGTGATCCTCCTACTTCAGCCTCCCATAGTGCTAGGATTGCAGGCTGTGTCCAGATGGTAACAAGTTTTATTAAGACCTTGGATTAACGGTTGTCACGGTAATAGTTCAGCATACGTACAGCCCACCCCATACCAGGTGCTGTCCTAAGTGCTTTATGAACCTGTGTATTAACTCATTCAGTCCTCACCAAAACCTACTTTAGGACTTAAGTCCTCTTAAGTGATCACCGTTTCACAGATGGGGAAACTGAGGCAAAGAGCAGGCACAGAAAGCACACTGAGTGCTGGGAGATGTCTCCCAGCAAGCGGGCGGCCGTGTCCTCTCACAGGGGGCTGTGGCCTCTGACCCGCTCTCTCCTTCCTCCTGCAGGGACAGGGGCAGACCCGGTGGTCAGCACCAGGAGCAACCACTGCCTGGATGCTGCCAAGGCCTGCAACCTGAATGACAACTGCAAGAAGCTGCGCTCCTCCTACATCTCTATCTGCAACCGCGAGATCTCGCCCACCGAGCGCTGTAACCGCCGCAAGTGCCACAAGGCCCTGCGCCAGTTCTTCGACCGGGTGCCCAGCGAGTACACCTACCGCATGCTCTTCTGCTCCTGCCAAGACCAGGCGTGTGCCGAGCGCCGCCGGCAAACCATCCTGCCCAGATGCTCCTACGAGGACAAGGAGAAGCCCAACTGCCTGGAGCTCCGCAGCGTGTGCCGGACTGACCACCTGTGCCGGTAAGAGTGATGCTGCTGCAGCTCCGGGGCTGCCCGCAGGAGGGGGCTCGCAAGGCCGGGCTGGTGTCCCCCTTTGCCACATTCCCTGGGGGCCGTTGGCTTAGGACCCTGAACCCAGCAGAAAGGGTGCCAGAAGGGTTGAAACTGACCTGGACATGTGCAAAATGAATCGTCACCCATTCGTTTCATTGATTCATCAATTCATCCATCTATCCACTTATTCATTCATTCATTCATTCAGCACAGGTTTATCATTTGCTGATAAATGTGCCCAGCCTCTTGCTGTAGGGAAACCAAGACGAACAACCCCGAGGAGTTTATACTTTAAAATCATAGACTCCTAGAGCCTGGGAATCCCAGCAGAGGACATGTGACTCTCAGGGAAGGTGCTCTTGTCAATCACAGAGTCAGCGCATTCTGAACCGAGACCTGAACCGGTGCAGTGTTGAGCGAGGAATGGGTTCTGGAGTCTGACAGTCCTGGGTTTTAGGTTTTAAAAATTTTCCCAAGCCTCTATCCCTTCGCCGGTAAAACAGGAACAGAAGTACTCACAGCACAGGGTTATTGTGAGTGTTAGATTACATGACATGTGTCTGAAGTTCAGCCCAGAGCTCGGAATATAGGGAATGCTTAATAAGTGTAGACTCATTATTAGGAAGGAGGTTTTTAAATTGTTTGGTTATGGTGAGTTGAAATTTGGCTCTTAGTAATTTTAATGTTTTCGTTTGCTAAGTATTTGTTGAGCTCTTCTCGTGTGCAGCGCTTTGTCCTGAGGTCTGGGCTCACAGAGATGAGCACAGTGCTTTCCAGGGAGCACCCAGGCCAGCAGGGACACAGACCAGGGGAGAGTGACCCGGCCCAGTGGGACGAGGCTGTGGGCTTCTGCAAGAGGGAGCACGGGGAGGGCATCTGCTGCAGACTGGGGTTCAGGGGAGGGGGCTTAAAAGCTGAGCCTTAAAAAACCAGAGAGAGAAAGCCAGGGAATGTGTCAGCCAGAAAAGCATGGCACAAGCTGGAGGGGGCAGAGAGCTGGGGTGATGGGAACTGCAGGTGGGGGATGCACATGGAGGGGGCTACAATGGGGGGGCGGGGAGGGGAGGAGAGCCAGAGGGGAGGCTGCCAGGAAACGGGGATTGCAACAGGTGCAGATGTGTATAGGTTGGCCGCCACGTTCTGGAAACTTGTTCTAGAGGCTTCATGTCTCATTTAATTCTTGCACCAGTGCTATGAGGGGGTACTGTTATCTTTATCTGCCAATGAGGAAATGTCTGGCGAGGTACATAAGAAGGAACTGCCTAAGGTCACACAGCCCTACATTTCAGAGCTGGGATTCAGGCTACATGGCTTTCCTTCCAGTGTGGCCCTGGAGTAAGATACTGGCTGTGGGGATGGAGAAAAGTGGGTTGTTTCAGCGAAGATTGGGAAGTAGACTGCACAGCAGTGGGTGACTGGCTGAATGTCCCCTGGAGGCAAGAACCCTTTCTGTTTGTTTACTGCACACCCGTCCTGCACACACAGCCAGGCAGGGGGTGAACATCACTTGAATGGGTAAATGGATGGTGACCGCCATGTGTCCTAGTTGAGTGACTCTGGGACGATGGAGCCATTCAGTGGGGCTAGTGTTGGACATACAGCAACTGAGATGCCTGGGGGACCATTGCCACCCCCATGGGAACATCTGGGAGGCACTTGGACTTGTGGGGGTGGAGATGAGTACTGAGGCTGGAGAGGAGAGACGGGCTTGGGAGTCATTGGGCACCTCGTTGGCAATTAAAGCAACAGCAGTGCGTGAGATGGTGTAGGAAGGGGTGGTGGAGCCCACGAGGGAATTTAGGGTGGAGACACCTGCAGAGTTGGGCATCCACAGTGTGTGGGTGATGGGTGAAGCCACTGGAGGGCCAGGGAGGGCGGCACTCTCCTGGAAACACCAGTACTTACGGGAGGGGCAAAGGAAGTGGAGTGTGAGGCAGGGCGGTCAGGGAGGGGGGAGGACAGGTGGGGATAGTGGGCCCAGAGGGAGGGGAACCAAGTGGTTGGTGCCTCACTGAGTGTGTGTGCTTGTGCCTGTGCGTGTGCGCATGTGCATGCGTGTGCGTGTGTGGATGGTGGAAGCCAGATTGCAGTGCGTCCAGTGTGGCCCGGAGGCGGATGTCAAGGCATTGGGTATAAACCACCTTCTTCAGAAGAGATGAGGCCAGGGCCTGGGACTGCAGAGCAACCTGGGGTGGGAGGGCTTCTTTTTAATGCGGGAGAGCCAGGCTGCATGTGCACTGAGGGGGAAGTGCCACTTTGGTTTGGAAAACAAGCTCTGCTGCAGTTCAGACAAGGGACTGATCCCAGAGCTAGCTGCAGGGCTCAGGGAAAGCTCTGTGAAGAAGGTGGGCTTTTCTCTTCTGCTTACTTAAAAAAAATACGCCTTATCGCCTTAAAACTCAGCACACAACCACAGGAGCACGAAACTCAGCAGGAAAAAGGAGAGCCTTAGAAAGATGTTGGGAGCAAACGCGGGGACCCTGCCGTGTGGCACGTTGCTGAGCCTGAACCCTGAGCTTCCTGGTGGCTGGACGAAGGGGGGAGGCTTGAGGGGCCACACACATCCTTGTGCATGGTAGAAGGAGCACGGAGCACACTGGTTCTTGACCTAAGGCACTGTCTCTGCTTGTCCGAGTGCTACAACGACCTTGGGTGCTGCGTCATGCGTAGCTGCGTGAGTGACAGAGCACAGCACAGAGGAGGAACTGGGCCCTAAAAGGATCAGAAAGGACCAGCATGGGTCCAAGCTCAGGTCCCCAAGCACGAGGGTGGGCACAGCACCCAGAAGGCTGGATGGCTGCAGGGGCTGGCGGCAGGCCCTAGGAGTCAGGCTGCTCAGATGTTTGAACAAGGCGTCTTGGGCAGAGGAGACAGGGACACCAGCACCTGTTATTAGTATTGTTTTGAGGAAGGGGAGATAACGTAGTGCATGGCTCCTAACGGGTGGGTCTGTGGCCCTGCGTGAGATGGGAGAGTTTGGAGCAGGGGGAATTTGGTGGCTTGGAGATGTCTGTGCCTATTTAAAGAGCCAGAAGCGTTTTTTGTTTGTTTGTTTTTCTTTTTTTGCTTGTCGTTTGTTTTTCTAGAAGTGGGGGAAGCCAGGAACAGAGGAATTGGGTGATAAACTTTACCTTGTGAATCCAGAAAGGGTGTTTAAACAAGGCCGAGAAGGTCGAGACTGAGGAGTCCCAGCAGCCGAGAGGGGCTGAGCCTGGCAGATCAGCTGCATGCCCTGGAAGAGAGATTTAAATGGTTGCAGCCCCAGGGCCCAGGGACAGTGCAGTGTCTGGATTATTGACCTGGGTACCTGGCTGACTTTGGGAGGCCTGGGGCCATGAGGAGGAAGTTACGGTGGTTGCTCCAGGATGTGGCTAGGTGAGTTCCTGACCTTGAACCAGGGTGTTCTTGTAGCCCATCTCTCCCCAGCTCCTGCCCCACCCAACACACCCATCCATGTGCAAATTTAAATATGGTCCCAAGGGGAAGGGGAGAAATGAGGGTGCAACCTGCATTTAGGGTGAGTCTGGCAGGAGCCTTGGGGGATATTACAGCATGGCAAGGTGTCCTTTAGGGAACTTTTCCCAGGGCTCAGAGTTGAGGCTTGAGGTGGGTGCGTTGACACATGCTCTGGGGAGCAACAGAGGCTGCTATGCACAGAGATGACAGGTGGTGGATGGAGGCGGTTGCCAAGGTGCCCCAGCGTCAGCAGACCTGCCTGGTCTCCTCATTCTGCCTGGGGTCTCCTGAGTGGTCCCACCTGGGCCATTTTACTCCTAGTGCCACCGGTTTCTCCATCGATCCAATAAGGCTGCTCCACCAGGTCATCTGCAGGGACCTCCCAGTTCTACCAGGTCTATGGCTCTGATTCTCTCAAAGTAGTTTTCCAGTCTGCCTTCTCCCTTTGCTCCTGCCCTCCCCACTTGAGGTTATATTCCTGGAGAGCTGAGCTCTTGGTGTAAGAGGAAATGACCAGAGAAGCTTCACCAGGGTAGGTGGTGTGGGAGGGTGGATTTGAAGGGCGCTTTTCGCCAGCTCTTCCCAGGGGCACGCCCGGAAGGAGACCCACGTCTCCATGCACGTACCCAGGCTGCCTGTGGGTGCCCAACCTCAGCACCAGGAGGTAACGGATGGCTCAAGAGGGGTGTCCGGGAGCCTGGGCTTGGTTGGCCACTGTGCATAGGCAGGGGTGCTCTTCCTTTCTTTCCTGGGTTGGGTTTCCTTTCTCCAGGCTCAGGTGGAAATCATTACCGAGAAAATGGGAGACCCCAATAGCATGGTGTTTGGAATAGGGACTGAAGACCTGGGAGCCACCTCCCTTTCCTGGATACTTTAATGAACACAGCCGGCCTTGATGGGGGCTCATGGGGAAGCCTCTCTGGGCTTTGGACTCTTGGGAAATGAGGCTTTCATCCCTGAGCACATCACAGGAACCTGCCCCATGCTGCAGTGCTTTGGTGCCCGGTGCTGGATTATCCTGGCCTGCCTGGCCCCCATGGTCCCTGCTCTTGCTCAGGGAGTTGGCCCTGTCATGGCCTGGCCTCTCGCCAAGCGAATCTCCGCCCAGGATTCTTGGGGTGGGGGGCAGCTCTGCCAGAGCCGACCTAACTGGGCACTACATTAAAGCAAGTGCATTGATTTGCAGTGAGGCACACCTAGTGGCAGGCCTCGTACATCACCCGTGTGATATTTAACAGTCTCCGCTGTGCTGTCTTATTAAATGTCACTAACGATAAAGTGTTGGCAGTTTTCCTTGATGTGGGGCTCGAAGAAGCCTTGGTTAAACAAGGATATCTGCTTGCCAGCCCTTGGGGTTAGTGGAAGCACTTCAGAACTTTCCATCACTCTTTGGACCAGGAGCAGTTTGGGGACCGTGAGCGAGGGAGGATGCACCTCTGGGAGTGGAAGCTTCTGGCTCTCCACGCAGTTCCAACCAGCATTGAAGTCATCGTAGGAGTCCAGGCTCTGTCTTTCCCCTTTGGCCACATCCGTGAGCCTT